TATACTAGGGATATAATAAGAATAACTCAATTCTGAGGATCATTAACAGATTTTGAATTTAAAACGGTTTAATATTTTAATAATTTTAGAGAGTGAGCGAACTTGAAAATTGAGTAAGTTTAAAGCTTTATTCGGTGCTCCTTTTTCAAGGTAAAAGAGAGAAAGACGTATCAGTATAATTAAGGACGTACAACACACCCACCTCCAAAAAATTCCTGTCGTTTAATTTTCGCTATTTTTGTATATTTTATACATGACTATATATACAATGAGTATGCACATTTTGGACAAAATCGTTCAAGTCGTATTTGGACAGGAAGTTCCAAAAGTTACCCCCCTTTGGTTGTTCACGCGGAGAATAAATTTTCAATCGGCTAGCTGTAAAATCCTTGATTTCAAAAAAGTCCAGCTAGTCTGGCTGTCAAATTTCATCGACTCATTCATTTTACCATTAATTAACCACACAAATAAAGTATTTTTGTAGAGGTTCACATCGCCAAAATATTTTTTGAAGACCTTAAACTGAAAAACTAATATTAATGGTTCATATAAGCCTTGAAAAATGCGTATTTTTCAATTTTAATATTAAACCTATTGTTTAATTTTGGGGAAAAAATACTTTTTCCATGTAACTGGGTACAAAAGTAATCTTGATAATTTTTTGTAATTTTTTTTAAACGAGCCGTCTTGAATTTATAGCGAAAAATCACCCCCCCCCTCCCCTTCTCCTTAAGTCACGTTTCTCAAGCGTCTTTCAGACTTTGCACGAAAACATTGTTAGATCTACAAATACACGTGAAAAATTCCAAGCCAGAAAATATCTTTTGCTTTAAAAAAATTATCTACATTATATATCAGAGTTCTTCAAACTTTTCAGTTCATTGAAATGCAGATGTATAGGCAATTTTTGACGAAGCCCCCCCCCCCCCAACTTTTTGGGACGCAGTCATTAGAGCTTGATGAAACATAGGCTACCCTCGAGATATATATTTTCTTAATCTTTTAAATCCCTGAAGTACCATTTAATTAATTTATTCATGCAGATTTAAATTCTGACAACTAGAATAAGAGTTAAACTATCAACTACTAGAATTAAAGTAAACCTTAAATTATTCATGTGTCAAAATATTCATGTACAGTGATACATGTATAAAACGTTTTGTTTTGATTCGAAATTCAAAACGCACTGAAATTGTTCACAGTGGTAAATATCTAGATGGTCGGATAAGGCCAGTTATCTAGTCGCATATAAGATATTCGTGAATTCGAGCCATTTCAGTAAGCAATTCTGGTACATTTTCGGTACTTACTCAGTATATTATTATAGTTTTCAGTTCCTGCGTTCATCAGAATTCATTGTGTTTTCATAAAGTTCTGTTCGACAAACAGGAGGAAATAACTCAACTAGGGGAGGGGGAAAATCCCCCACAATTTTAGAGTTGTTCCTCTTTGATCAGTGAACTTTTGGAAACGGGTTGTAAAACATTTTTTTTAAAGGAGAACAAAACAGTATTTATATGTCTAATTCTTAATTTGAAGATAGGCCCGTGATCTGGTAATGCGAATGTTACAAAGCCAACTGTAACAAAAGAAAGCAATGTATCATAAAAAGATAAAGAATATTGTTGTGCTAATATTGATCACGGATACGAGTTTCATATAAAAATTAAAGAAATTTAAGAAGTAATCTTTCTATTCTTCCCTTTTTATGGAGGAGGGGCAGGTTTTAAATCAAAAGCGCAAATAATCAAGGATACGATTTGGTATTTCTAAAGACACCACATCAAGCCCCTAATCCCATTCTCTTATAATTACTTCGGGATCGATTCGGTCCTGATTTTGACGCTTTATAATAAACGTCTTTGACGTCAAGTTAAGTGTTAAATTGAAATCGCAAGAGTCATCTCCCCCAGTGTGTCGTACGTCTTTAAATAGTTATGTCCTTTGACCACTATATGGGGAAAACCCATATAAATTTCAAAGTGTTTTTTTTAATCTTCTCTGGTTGTTAATTTGTTGTAACATAAAAATATTTATCGTCAGTCGAGATAAAAATATTTCTTGTACCAGGATATGGCTACCAAGGAGGCCTACATTATCCCCCCCCCCCAAAAAAAAGGTAGATGAATAAAATTTTTAAAAAAACATAAATGATTAAATTACAGTGAATTTAACACAGGTCGCCCAAAATATATGGTAGTTCGAGACGACAAAGGATACTACTCTATTTTTTAAGTGTGTGAGAATAAAACGTGAAGTGGGCATGTTCTTTATTAGTTCAACCAGTGTATTTACCGCTATGCACAGTGACGATACAGGTACAGGTATGTTGAAATAAATGTATTGATGATGATTTAATAGAATTCGGACAGGAATACCAGTTGGATGGAAGCATAAGAATGAGCAATGCTGTAGAAAGTGGGACATGAGAACCCTAAGACGAATTGTCCGTTGTCAGCTAATCCACATACTAGATGTGTCGTATTTCAGCCATCCTTGCCTGTTGATATCACTAGGATTACCAAGTCTTTATAAATACCTAAATTTCCAGCAAGGCTAGCTGCTTTATTGATGGATCGTTCATCAAATGCAGGGATTTATCAGCCTATTTTGGGAAATGCCATTTTGGGGGAATTGGGAAAAAATTATCGGCTATTTGATGAAATTGGGAAAAATAAAAAAATCCTGCTTCATCATGTATTCAGATGTAATTCATTTAACATTTCAGCATGAACCCTATTTTGGGCAGCCAAACACACAATTAAATATGATCCAACTTCAACATACAAAATCAATTATGAATAATGTTGACTAATAAAACTAAATATGACTTCAATGAGTAAAAGGTATTTAATACTATTTATACAACATAGGGTAGCACATGTGTGTATGAGATTCCAATTTAGGTCATTAAAATCTGTTTTTGGAGATAATAAATCTCCTGCAAATTTTTTTTTACTAAGTTCCATTTTAATATGTAAAAATACATTGAAAATATATTTTTCTATCTAAAATAATGCCTACAATTCTAATAATTTACTCTTAGATCAATTGAGTAGGTGGAAATGACTTTATAGATCTACATTATCACCATTTTCAGAAAAACGGAGGAAATTCGGATTAAAAGTCGGCGATGTTTTACAGTGTTTTTAAAACTTGTTATGACTGTAGCTTTACTAAATGAGTTAAATAGAGGAAAATTACAGTCAATCTGACAATTTTACTTAGTGTTTTTCCAAGTTAATTAAATATAAAAGCATTGTTCACCAATTGGGAAAAAATACTGCCAAATTGGGAAAAATTGATCTTATTTTCAATTGGGAATGGGGCCGAATTTCGGCCCCTGAGGAGGTGCTGATAAATCCCTGAAATGGTTCAGATTAAATAAGATTGTACCAAAATCATCTAGATATCAGATATTCTGTGTCAGGAAATTGATTCTGTTGAGAGATACAGGCCCGTAAAAAGCAATTTCAGTTTTTTTTTTTCTTTTTTTTTTGGGGGGGGGGGGGCACAGCCATACATTTTCTGTCGAGGCGTCACTATCAACTACCAAAAATTCCTTGACAAGCCGAAAACAAAAAGGTCATCAGACGTCTTTATTGAGGGGGCACAAGCATATAGAAGCTATTTTTTCTATAGTAATCTATATATCGTCAAAATTATTTGGGAGACATGCCCCCCGTGCCCCCCCCCCCCCCCCCCCTCCGGTTCCTACGGCCATGAGATAGCATTGTAAGGGAGATTTAAGTGGGTCAGATTATGGGTCCATTTTCTAAGCCGAGTCAATTTTACATATTTATGAAGTTCTCCAGTCAGGCCTGTACCTAAGTTGAGTGAAGGCCTGATGATGAAACATGTCTCCGTTTACTCTGCGTCCTATGACCTCATGGTGTTGATCCATAAATTAATAGATTTATAGAATTATGTTCTGTTTTGATTCTTCATAGTGGGCTACAAAAAATCAAGTTACCGAACATAATTTAGATCATGTTAGATGGTTTCATACTTGCACAAAGTACTGGTTCAGGAAAGTGTTAAGATAATATGAACTCATTATAGTCAATTTGCTCTGAGTTTCCGTGGTGATGGTAATGTATAAAAGCTTGGGGTCTGGTCACTTGTTCAATATTTCAAGGCATACAAGAGCCTTGTAAATAAAGATATGTGTCTGTGTTTCAAAGTAAAGCTTTTGGGTACGCCGTCACTATTTGATCCTTTATTAACAACTAAAATTAAGATCATTAACATATGCAAGATCCTTTATTAACAACTAAAATTAAGATCATTAACATATGCAAGAACTTGTAATATATGCATGTGGTTAGCTAAGATCTTCCTTTGCTGCATTTGATTAAGTTCCGACCTGATAAATGATTATAGATAAGATGTTAAAAAAAAATTACTAAATTTCCCTTTCCAGAAAAATACCCAATTTTCTAGAGTTTTGGATCAAAATTTAACTCCCCAAATACGCATCTTATCACATATTGTCACTGAGCACTGATCACTGACAATACTGATGAGTTGGTTTTGCTTTCTCACATTTCTACTCTGAATTTTCTGGATTATAGTTTTAATATTTTTCTTGAAATTTCTGAATTGTAATCTTGATATTTTTTCATTAATACCTAATATCTAAATGCATTAATGGTAAACTTACTTTGTGAAAGTGCAAGGATGTGCCAACCAAACGCATCCCGAAATTCGTAGTTTCAAAAATTTCCAGATCAAATAAGCTTTGGATTATATTTCCGTGTTAAATGCTATAGCAACATATGTCATGATATTATACAGAAAATTTAAGAAAATATTAACTTCAAATCTGTGTCTAGGCCCCTTTAATCAAACACTTGCAATACGACACTGAGAGTTCCACATCAGTGCACACATACACATTATTAATAGGGTATTTAAATTTCATTCCAACTTGAAGATTTTTAAATAGTTCATAAAAAATACACCCTGTCAACACATCTTACTTCCTAGTTAGATGTTAGATGGCGACTTTTTTATTTGAAATGACATTTGCTAATGTTGCAACAGGTTTTCTGGTTATTACGGTCATTTATACACACGGTTATGGTGAGTGTTTGCTTATTTGTTTAATTGACAACTTTTCAAAAACGTGACCATAAAGAAAATATTTTCAATTCATCACACGTATACATTAGCATGATGATGTTTAATTTCTGTAAAACCATGCACACGGTGATGTCATATTTTTCTTTTGCATAAGCACATAGAATTTTGAAAAGAATTGATGCTTAGATTTTAGCAAAACCTGAAACATATCATTTATATGGTTTCACATTCATGTTGGATAAGTATGCATGCATAAACTAATTTTCATTGCTCCTTCCCAAAATATCTCTGACATGCTTGATCGATTTTCTCTCTTTAATTCTTGTTTAGTATCCTATTAAAGATCTTGGTAAGGTGTCATTAGAGTTTTATTAAATTGATTTAACAAAGATATTGCCCCACACCAAGCTGTGTCAGGCAAGATGTTTTCTTACTTCCTGTATTCCCTATTTAAAAATAAAACTATGTTTAAGAATTCTCATACTTTAATGATTTTAACAATTTAATTCCTTCAACACTCGTTTACAAAGCAGGAAATAAAAATTATTTACAGTCATTAACAGTTTAATGTGAACCGTTGTACATCCCTGTATAATTAGAAATTAAAAGAAGCTATGTTCAAACTAGCGCTCCGTCCCTAATCAACAGCTCATAGACTAAAGCTCAGATCTGGACGGAATCAAGTCAATAATAATAATAACAAGAGGCCCATGGGCCACAATGCTCACGGAGTAACTTTGGCCTTGCTGTTTTTCACCTGATTCCCCCCTTGTAGTACTTATTGTGGCCCCGCCCTAGCCCCATGGGTCATGATTTGAACTATTAGAATCTACACTACCCCAGGATGCTTCCACTTAAGTTTCGTTTCAGCTTTTCTGGCCCAGTAGTTCTTGAGAACATTTTTAAAGATTTTTGCTACATATTTCAATGTGAAAATTGGATTCCCTTTTGTGGCCCCGCCCTACTCCGAGAGGTCATGATTCGAACAATTTAGAATCTACACTACCCAGTATGCTTCCACATAAGTTTCAGCCTTTCTGGCCCAGTGGTTCTTGAGAAGAAGATTTTTGAAGATTTTTTCTACATATTTAATGCAAAATTTAGAATCTACTCTACCCCAGGATGCTTCCACATAAGTTTCACTTTTCTGGCCCAGTGGTTTTTGAGAAGAAGATTTTTAATGACCCCACCCAATTTTTGTCTTTTCTTGATTATCTCCCCTTAGAAGGGGGCTTCGCCCTTCATTTTAGCAATTTAAACTTCCCTTCACGTAAGGATGCTTTGTACTAAGCGTGGTTAAAATTGACCCAGTAGTTCTTGAGAAGAAGCTGAAAATGTGAAAAGTTTACAGACGGACGGACAGCTAGACAGACAGACGGACGGACAGAGGGACGACGGACAACGGGTGATCAGAAAAGTTCACCTTAGTTTTCAGTTCATGTGAGCTAAAAAAGTGGTAGTAACTTTTCCTTCGTCAAGTTGTGGTATTCCGAAGTGATAGTCCCGGGTCTTTCGAATGAGACCTCACAAAAATAGACCCTGTTTAATAACAGATGTTGACACGATAAAGATCCTTTACTGCTTAATGATCCAGAGTGCCGAATATTTTTCTGAATTTGAAACCCTTCACTGGCATACGGTGATGTCTCATATATGTATTACTGAACGTAAAAGGTGAAAAGAATTCTGGCTTTCTAGAAAACACAATATGTCATCATGGTATCAATAATGTCTCATAAGATAAGTGGAATACATTATTCTGTTTTCTTAGTAATTATTTATTTACATCATTTAGTTTAAAAGTTTGTCTGTAGAAAAAAAAAAAAAGTATAGAAAAATTATAACCGCTGAGCATTTCTTAAAATTACCATATTGTAATTCTGCCAGAAGATGGATAAAGAAGAAAAAAGTTCCCTTTTTTCTTCATTTCACGACCACTTACATGTACTTTGACAGAAACCAAGGAGTTTAGAAGTGCTCACTTGTCCTCCAATGTCTTTTGAAAGATTTTCCTCAATCTTATCCTTCTGTGACATTGCGATCGAGTCACTGGGGTTATCGAGGCAAAAATAAGCCAAGCCTGCATCAAACCTTCTGCTGCTTAGTTACAGTTCTAGTGGTACATATAATTAAAAGTACAAATCATTTTCCAATCTTTGATTCGAAAATAATGAAAAAAAAAGGCCTGTGTAAACGACTTGCAAGGTAAAGGAGGGATGGGGGATGGGGTTCAGCATCCAGACAAAATTTGACGGTCAAAAAATAGACAAATGAACCACACGCTCACCAGAGTCAATATTGCCCTGTGGTTCTTCATCTGCAGATTTTTGTTTTGTATTATATATTCCTATGTAAAAATTTCATCCCGATTTTGACCAAAACCAACCCAAAGGTGTCATGATTAAAACAAACATCTACACTTTTTGAGGATGATTCAGTATTTACATGACTAGTCATGGCATTGCTCTTCTTGACAAGAAGATATTAAAAGACCTATCGTTAAAGTACCCCCCGGGGGGGGGGGGGGGGTCTTATGTAAAAAAAAAAAAAAAAGAAAAAACTTGATTTGGATGTTCACAACATGAGGATATTTCCATATCAATGTGACTAGCCATGGTTTTCATGTTCTTGAATATTTTTCTATACGAGAGTTGTCCATAAAGTTCGTGAACAATGTCATTTTTGTCAAAATGAATGGGCCTACATGTAGATATACTTATACCTGTATAATCACGGATTATATCACGGACATGCGCTACATTTTCTTTATTATGCCACACTGCCAAGTGTGGGCTATAATATTTATGCATACACCATAATTGATTTAATTGAAAATTCCAGTCGATACACGATAATTTACGAGAGTCATCAGACGTCGCGCACAAAATTGGGGCCCATATTGTAACGTCAAAATAGCGTCAATAAAACGCTTAAAGTCCACGTCCAAGTCAAAGTTCTGAAACATCCCAATCAGAAATGTTGACTTTTTCTTACGAGAATCTCTTTTTTTATTATCTTGTCTTCTTAGATTCTCTTACCGTACACGGTAAAACAGTCGGTAGAGCGCTCGCTCCGTGATCGGGAAGTCGTGAGTTCGACTCTCGGCCGTGAGTGACCTAAGTCGATAAAAAAATGGGTAGCAACTGTTTCTTCGCCATACTCTCGACACTTTGAAGTGAAATTTGCGGGTCCTTCGGATGAAACCTTAAAAAAAAAACCGAGGCCCCGTGTCACGACAGGCGTTGGCAAGATAAAGACCCCTTACTGCTCAAAGGCCCTGAATGCCAAGTAAAGGTCAAAATTTGAAGCCCTTCAGCGGTATATGGTGACGTGTCTATATGAGTGAAAAATTCTCGAATGAAACATTAAACAACATACAATCATTCTTTCATTCTCTTTGTTTTCTTATTTTCTCACTAATTAATATTTTATTCTGCTGAATGCAGATTTGTATTTCCCTTAAAAACGGCAAGTTTGCAAGTAAAACTATTTTTGACCTTACGTTGTCTAGGCATGAAAACGTTAAAAATTGAATGCGTAACAAATTAGACAGGATATCCAGTTTTTGCTGTTTTCTTAAAAAAGTTTAACTTCTTTCCATTTTTTTTATATAAAATTTTATTTGTTTGCACATTTCGAAAATGAGATTTTTATCGACAACAAGAATTCGACTTCCCCCATATACGTCTCGTAAAATATCATAATACGTTTATTTGTGCCATAGTAACAAAACCGACTAGAAATCAAAATCACTCTATCATCTCTTCAGATACCTGCTTATATCTTTTTAAAGAAACATGTGACTACTTCTTGATTTGCACATTTTATTTCTCCCTTTAGTTTTACCAAAAGAACTTGTTATATGGGAAAAATTCTTTACCAAACATTGCATCTCTCCTTGTTACGTGTCAAAATCACGGCATATTACGGAATGCTATTATTTTTACAAACAGTCGGAATCAGCCAGTATTGGAAATTTATTAATGGAAATCATCATAGCTTTGTGCAAATTGGCGGAAAGATCCATGTGGTAAAAAAAAATAATGACTAAAAACTAGGAGCGCCCGTCTTTTAGTGTTACAAGTCACGCAATCAAATTACTCAATACTATGCGCGACGTCTCATTGACCACTGATCACGCAAAGTATTTAATATTGAAGATCATCCACCACGTGCACAAAAGCGATCCTTATAATCGTATTCTTTATGAATCGTGTGTAGCTTTTATTTAGGATGGCCAATTTTAATAATAATAATAATTGTTCTCTTCAATTGAACAGTCAGCTCTCTCCGTATGGAGAGGCAATGTTGCTAAATGCAATATCTTTATATTCTGAAATCGAGTTTTCAGAATATAATCGCAAGATTTTTATTGCCAGATCATCAGTTAATAGATACATTTTCATAATCGCAAGGCTTTATTTGCCAGCCCACAATCTTATCAAAAGCGTTTATATGTACAATACTGAATAGAACTTCACTTCTAGCTATCAAACTTTTTAGGTCACTTGAGTCACTAAGTGACCTATTGCTATCTGTTTTCGTCTGTCGTCGTTCGTCGTACGTCGTTCGTCGTCAATCGGTCGTAAACTTTTGAACATTTTTAGCATCTTCTCTGGAACCACTGAACCAACTTCAACCAATTTTTGCACATAGAATCTATGGGTGAAGGGGAGTATAAATTGTGAAATTCATGACCCCTGCCCCGCTGGGGCCTGAGGGATGGGCCTAAAACCATCAAAAATGATGCAATCTTTAAAAATCTTCTTTACTCCTGGACATCAAGCAGTCAAACTGTTGGCATCATTGGAATAAGCATTGAGCCCTCCACCAAAATTGTGAAATTCATGGCCCCAGGGTCAGGGGTTCTGGTGTTAGGGCGGGGCTCTAATGATTATATAGTGAAAATGCATTAATTCTTTAAAAATCTCCTCCTTTGCTCCTAGGTATTTAGCTGATGAACTAAGTACAAAGTTATGATGAGCAAGACTGCTTCTTCCAAAATTCTGAATTTCATGGCCCCTGGGTCAGGGGTTCTGGTGTTATGGCGGGACTCTATGTTTATATAGTGAAAATACATTAATTCTTTGAAAATCTTCTTCTCTGCTCCTGAGTATTAAGCTGATGAAATAGGTACATAGTTATGATGAGGAAGAGTGTCTCTTTCGAAATTGTGAATTTCATTGCCCCTGTGTCATGGGTTCTGGAGTGGGGGGGGGGGCTTATTTATTGTATACTGAAAATAAATTATTGCTTTGAAAATCTTCTCCTCTGTCCCTTGGTATTAATTAAACAAACAAAATACATAGTTATGATGAGAAAGGATGCCTCTTCCAAAATTTTGAATTTCATGGCCCCTGGGTCAGGGGTTTTTGCGCTTGGTTGGGGTTCTATTGATTAATTAGCAAATTGCATTAATGCTTTGAAAAACTTCCCCTCTGCCCTTGAGTACACTGTACTAAGCAAACAAACTAAATACAATAATATCAACGTAAATGTACTAAATATAATTATAAGTAAATGTGCCTTTTCTTTGCTTCCGGATATCTAGGAGGCAGAGTACACAATTGTGATGTGAAGCAAATGAGATTTACTCCCCTTTGCTAAATATTGTTAATCAAGAAATCCTTGTATATAATTCAATTAACAGGTTACTTGATTGAATGAGAATACAAGAAAGAATGTTTATATATATATATATATATATATATATATATATATATATATATATATATATATATATATATATATATATATATATATATATATATATATATATATATATATATATACATGTATAGAAACAAAATAAAAATGAATGTTCGGTTTAAATGAGCAAAGTATGCTCAAAGTCAGATTCTTGCCTGTAAAGCAGTATAAAAGATTGACATAAAGATTATTTATATATTTAGCAAAGTTGTATTTGTACACAGTGTATTTACACTGTGGTGATCTAAGTTAGTGTCACTGGTAGTAGAGGCATGGTTGACAAGAGACTGGATGTTGTTTTATACTTTATCAAAGTGAACAAAGAATCACAAAGAACCAGGATGACTTATTGTAATTAGTGACAAGTGGCAAATAGCCATGCTGTATACCCAAGTGTGTGTGCACTGAATTGTAGCACTAGGCAAGTGACAAAAACATATCTGTATATATTGAATACTTTATACAATAGGCAAGTGTCCTTTGTATTTGTATATTTTGTATATCATCCCTGTAATACTTGTGAAAACCAAGTATGATCCAAAGGAGATCACTTTTGTCTAGCACGTTTCAATAAGCAAGGGTATTTAACCAGATTTTTAGCTCATCTCAACGAAGTCGAGATGAGCTTATGCTATACCCCCGGCGTCGGCGTCTATGAGAAAGTTTTAGGAGCAAGTCCATTCCCAAGTAACTATAAGCCCTACCTGGACTTGCCTTAAACTCTCATTAATGATGCATCTAGGGGTGGACACTATCACACTTGTTTCAGATGCTGAATCTAACATAGATTTTCAAGATGAGTGACCAGGTTAAAGTTTTTGGAGCAGGTCTATTCCCAAGGAACTATAAACCCGACCTGGCCCAACCTTGCAGGGATGATGCATCTAGGGATGGACACTATCACACTTGTTTCAGATGCTGAATCTAACATAGATTTTCAAGATGAGTGACCAGGTTAAAGTTTTTGAAGCAGGTCCATTTCAAAGTAACTATAAGCCCGACCTGGACCAACCTTGCAGGGATGATGCATCTAGGGATGGACACTACCATACTTGCTTCGGATGCTGGATCTGACCTAGATTTTTCAGATGAGTGACCAATTTAAAGATTTTGGAGCAGGTCCATTCCCAAGTAACTAAAAGCCCTACCTGGACCAAACTTGCGTGATGATGCATGTAGGGATGGACACTACCACACTTGTTTCAGATGCTGAATCTGACAAAGATTTTCCAGATGAGTGACCAAGTTAAAGTTTTTGGAGCAGTTCCATTCCCAAGTAACTATAACCCCTACCTTGACCATTCTTAAATGGATGAGACATCTTGGGATGGACACTACCACACTTGCTTCGGATGCTGGATCTGACCTAGATTTCCAGATGAGTGACAAAATTAAATTTTTTCGAGCAGGTGCATTCCCAAATATCTATAAGCCCTACCTGGGCCATACTTGCATAGATGCTGCATCTTGGGATGTACACTACCACACTTGCTTCGGATGCTGGATCTGACCTAGATTTTCCAGATGAGTGACCAGGTTAATGTTTTTGGCGTAGGTCCATTCCCAAGTACCTATAAGCCCTACCTGGACTCAACTTTAATGGATGATGCATCTAGCGAAGGACACTACCACACTTGCTTCGGATGCTGAATATGATGTAGATTTTCCAAATGAGTGAATTTTAGCCATATTTTAACCAAATTAGCATGGATAATGTACATGTATCTAGGAATGGGCACTTCCAGACTTGCTATGGATACTGAATCAGACCTTCATTTGCATGGATATTGATTTTGGATGTACACTAACTAGAAAAAAAATATGATGCGAGATTTGCCTTATTTATAGATAACATTCGTCGAGGTGAGCTTTGTAATCTTTGATTACCCATGTTTGAAATTCTTGGGCAACATTGCGATGTCTATCACTTAATTTTGTTTTATACTTCCGTGGATCCCTTACAGTGTTCAATTATACTCAGGTGATCGTTAAGGCCCTTGGGCCTCTTGTAAATGTTTAATCTCCGAAGGAAGATGGCAATTACGAACAGTGATCAATCTCATAAATTAGGTAAAAACAAAATGAATCATGAACAAGGCAAGGAACACAGACCCCCTGGAAGAACCAGGGATGGGATTAGGTGACTAGGACAATGACTAGTCCCTTGTTGACCGGTCACACCCGCCTTAAGCCCTATATATTGATGAGGTAGACGGAGTACTCCCTAGTCAAATTAAAAAAAAAGCACAGCCATAACAAATGATATGAAGCAACTGATCGTTGTAACGGACGTTAAACAAGAATAAAAAAATCAATTAGCCGATTGTTTCATGCAATTGTAACTAAACCAGGAATGACGTTATATTCTACCTGACAAGACGATGCAAACAATCAAGTGGATTTTGCTTTTATCTGTAAATCATTTTGAAAGATTTCCCTCTTCTTTCTTAAAAGTTTACATAAACATACCTTTATTTTTTTTATTATTTTTTTTTTTTTTTACACTTACATGTAAATATTATACTTTTAAATTTTTAATCATACAATGGGCCTTGAAAAAAAACAGTGAGTTAGCATTTTTTTTTTCTGAATTGAACATATTCTATTGTGATATATATACAATGGGATTGGACACAAGTTCTTTAAACTTTTTTTTCTGTTACAGAAAATATAGCTCTTTATAAACCAACATGGCAATCATTGCAGTATAATGCAGGAGACGGTAGATTCAATGCCAGTAATGCTGTCGATGGTCGGAAGACCAATCTTAGTGCTTGGAGTGGTGAGTGTGTTGTATCTGGACTAAAACAGAGCAGTGCAACCTGGTGGGTGGATTTAACATCTATTCAAAGTATACATGGCATACGGATATATTACAGGACGGATAATACAGTGTGGGGTTAGTAAATTGATCATAATGCATTCCTTAAGGGAACAAAAAAAAATCAAAATATACTTTTTCTTTAAGAAAACTTATCAACATACAGTATAATTCAATTCTAAAGAACTTACATGTTAGAAAATGTCGGTTATAAGGAGACTTTACTTTTATGAATCTCGTTTCCTTTGTAACAAATTTTTAATTTCTCAACATATTATTGAATTGACATTTTTTTTCTTGTTATAATGTATTATTAAATATTTTTTCTCGTTTTAAACGTATTATGTTGGTATTCAATCGTATTTTTCATCGCTTATACTGTGAAGATTGTATAGGGATTAAGTTATTAAAACCAGTGTGTAATTATATGTATATCATACTTCAATGAGCATAAGCGGTAGTACATGTAATAAGAAAGAAAACATGCGCATGTATATTGCAAAATAACTAAATATATCTTTATTATCGTTATGAGGATGAGAAAAGAATTGCTAATAGAGCGAAATTAATGCACAGATCTCCAAAACTGCGCGTTCTATAACCGAGATTACTCAATTAATACAATAACTTTTAAAACTGTTCAGCTACAGGTTCTTCTTTTGTTTACAATAAGTGTCACTAATTTCAACATCAGTCCAATTTTTAATTAGGGGAAAATGCGTACTTAAAGATTACTCACGGAAATACTAAATTATAACCTAGCCTTAAGGTTGTTTTCGTATTCTCTTTAGAAATTTAATTTTGTTACAGATGCTTCCAATGGCTACACAGCTAGATTTTTAGGATTTTATGTTTATGTATCTAATACGACGAACAGACTTCAAGGTCATCTATGTTTTCATGATACAAACTACACAAGAGCCACCATACCGTCAATTGTCAACATAACCTGTCCTGTACATGGACGATATGTCATTTACTTTAACGAAAGACCTCAGGATGCAGCCCGTGCCGGAGAATTCTATAAATATGCACACAACGAATTGTGTGAAGTGGAAGTTTACGGTATGCTTTTTTGGCCCTGTTGTAACAGTAAGATGAAACATATTCAGCAAGTCTCTATTTGTGATAAGAATTGGTTTATTCTTTGGAAAAGGATAACACATATAGAAAAAAAAAAGGTTCGAAAAAAATACTTTAAAAGCATGCATGTTTTAAAATTTGGTTCTACAGAGCTGAAATGGTAATCATGACCTATTATCAATCGTCTTTGAAAATTCACATTTGACAATATGCCTTACCTTCACATTCATTTCAAGTCATTTGAATCATTTGATTTGAATTGAAATATTAATTAAATTTTTCCATATTCCGAAAACGTAAATGTGGTACAATTTTTAAAATGCTTTTTTCTACCTTTTTAGGTTGTAAGAAAACCGGATTTTATGGACCTGATTGTTCCATTCCCTGTCCCGAGAACTGCCGTTACTGTCACATAGAGACGGGTACTTGTCAGGGATGTAAACCTGGATACCAAGGACATCAATGTGAATTACGTAAGTGACCAAAATGGGCATATGTGTATTCAAAACAGTCCATTGTAATGTGCATTCCTTACTGGATAATCCGTTTGCATGTAATCTCATAATTGATGCCAAATACATGTTCTTGTTATAGCATATTGCAGGTTTAATTTGACAGATTTGAATGTATTCTAATGACAAACCTATGCAGAGGGTGTCATCTTAATTGAGCGATTAAAAAAATGAAGAAGTTGAGGTCAATGAAATGGAGGTGTAGGAAAGTAGCGAGTTAATGTACAAAATTCAGCTAGACTTGCTTTCACAGGATGAAACTGCACCATTCAGTCAACTGAATCATGTCACCGAAAGGTCTGGAAAGTGGCTCAATTTCAGAGCTCTGTCATTCAGTCCTCTCTCCGTAAACTTTCAGTTACCTTTCAGTTAATTGAATGGCAGAATTTTATCCCGTGTTTCATATTAATGTTCGCTTTTCTTTCGGATGCTTTCTGATAATATGATAATCATTGTATTTATGAATGCTAGGAGACGACCTATCGCTATTAGCAATGTCAGTGAACATAATGAATTTCAATATGCACTTTTTCACTGCAACATAATATTTTGTGCATTTTACATTAAAATCGGATCGTATAATATTGTTGGTAAAGATTTTTGTTGATGTTAATTGCTTTCTGGTTGATATTTGTGTGCTTGGTATAGCAGAAAATGGTTCGATAAATTCTAAAATAAAGCCAGTAATATAGACTGAGTTCGTCTATTAAGAGAGCTCAATAGACTAACGTGTAAGAACAGGGAAAATTCGGAATGAAATCTGTTCGTCAAGCAATTTTTTGTGTGAAACCTCTCCAGAATTCCTTCGCTATCGGCATTCCATGCTAACATTATAGGCCCGCATTTATCTGACGTTCTTGCATAGAGCTTGAAAGAGACAATAATAAGAAATGGATATATGCCGCATACTGTTCTATATGTAAAATTATCAGACAGTTTGACGCCCCTTATGGCCAAAAACAGTCTGATAATTTTACATATAGAAATGTATGAGGCATATATCTTATACTTCAAACATTGACATTTAAATGTCTTAAAGTTGCCTGTAGGAGTCCGATAATAACACAATGGGTATTTAAACATATCTTATTGAAACATAATCAATAGGATTGGACACAAGTTTTACCAACTTAGAATTGTCCTCTCCAACACAAACAAAATGACATATATATATACACGTGATGTACAACCAACAAATGTACAATACAAAAACAAGTGCAGGGAAGTAAGAAAAGAGTGGGGGGGGGGTGCAAAGAAAGAAAGGAAAGGGGTTGTAATAGATACAGAATGGTTACGCTGGGTATTCATAAAAATCTTTTCGATTTTTTAATATATTTGTGTACGGCTTTAACTATGTTCATATTATTTTGTTGTCCCAAGTTTGAGTCCCCAAATAGAATTGTGTCAAGGTCTCTTGTTCCTTTGTTATTTCTTATAGTGTGAAATAATTCTAATCTTATTTCAGCATAATTCTTACAATACAAAAAAGTGTTCAGTGTTTTCATTGGTATATCCACAAGAACAATGAGTGTTATCTGAAAGCCTGACTTTGAACAGGTCTGACTTAAGGAGACTCTCATTGTGTCTCATTCTAGTTAAAATTAAGTTTATTTTCTTTTCACCAAAAGAAAAATATTTTGGGGGAGATTCACATTTAAGAAGTCTTTTTTTGAAAGCATTTATAGTTTCACGGTTTCTGATTTCAGAGGGCAAGGCGTTCCATAATGATATTGTAGATGGAAAGAAGGAATTTTTTAATAAGTTCGTTCTACATTTGGGTATAACAATATTATTACAATTTCGTAAATCATACTGGGTTATTTCTGAGACTTCAGGAGGTTATAGATTCGATAAATAGTCTGGCGCGAGACCATGTTTTATTTTAAACATTAAACATAACTTTCTCTTTTCTCGTCTATAAGCAAGTGTTTCCCATCCTGTTTCATAATATAAAGAGTTACGGGGGGAGTAAATAGGAAGTCCAGTTACAATACGTACAGCTTCTAATTGAAGTTTCTCTAGCCTTTCACAGTCAGCTGCAGAAATATTATCCCATACTTCTGATGCATATTCAAATAAGGGCCTAATAAATGAAGTATACATCTTTGTTAAGAAATCACGATTTAAGGATAATTTCAATTTTCTAAGAACTGCAATTTCTTTTGAAGCCTTTTTAATAATATCATCAATGTGGTTTGTCCATTTCCCAGAATTCGAAAACATAAGTCCAAGATGACAGGGAGTAGAAGATGGAATGATTTCTTGATGTTAAACTTAAAGCTTAGTTTGGATACTTCATCTTCACTACTGCCAAATATTAATATTTTGTTTTTTTTTCAGAATTAAATTTTACAAGCCAGTTTTTTGACCATTGGTTAATTTTTTCTAGATCATGGTTAGTAAGTTTTTCTAAGTCCTTCAAGTTTTTAGATGTATTTGACACAGATGTGTCATCTGCAAATAGTCTAGATAGGTATTCAAGTGTCAATAGTTTTCTACCTGAATCCATCTAATATCATAAGTAGACAAAAAGGAAAGGTTTTTTTTTTCTTTAGGCAATAAAAGCTGAATTTTTTTGTTTCATTACATTTATTCAATGGCAGTCGTTTAGGTAAGGAGGATACTGGTCAGGCGGTGAAGAAATCTTTTTGACTCTGAACATTTTTTAATAAATTGAGTCCGATATAGTGTTGGATGATATCATCCCCAAGTGAAAATGCGGGTTTATATCTGAAAATTTATTTGGTTGATATGATGAAAATCTCAGACTTTTTAAAAAATTCGGCCAGCGGCGGAGAGCAAACCTAGTCAAATGATGAAAATTGCAGATTCTTTATGGGAAACAGATTTCAATTAGCTTATTTACAGTGCTATATCGAAAACACTCAGCGAAAAACTCTATGGAAAGTGTTTCTGTTGAGAAAGGTTAGAAATCGATTTTCGTCGTGGATTTCCTGCTTTGTAGCAACTTAAATTCCTAGCATTTGCTTGCCCTAGATTTATTTATTTATCTATTTATTTATCATGTTTATTTATTACGGAAGCACTGGAGGGATATTGACTTACTTCTTAGGTGTTTTGACTTGGTTCTTATGACTTAATTATTAATCATTGTTATTTTAAAATTGTTATTACACCACACGTTTACTTTACTCAAAACGTGGCGTACAAGATGGAGGCTACTTGTAGTCTCAGAAAAGAAGAATTATTATTTTGCCTTTGAATTTATCACTAATGACAAGATAAAATAGCAGTAATGTTCATATGTTCAATCATTATGCACACTGGAAATTAAATGTAATATTTAAGTTGTAACGGTTAAGTAACAAGGAATAACAAATGAGAATGAACAAATAACAATTAAGTTATAACAACTACATGTAAGTTACAAGATATAACAGATAAGAATTAAGTAATCAGAACTGCACTGGACGTTCAACTACAATTACATTCAATCAAAAACCAAAGTTACATGTAAACTAGGACTAAATATATCATTTTAATAATAAACTTAAGCCATCTACATGTTCTCCATAGCTACGTTACACTTGGTAATAACCAGCAACAAAAAAGTCATAACAAATAAGTCACAACAAATAAGTAATAACAAGTAAGTCAGTGTCCCTCCAGGGCTTCCGTAATTTATGTATTTATTTTTTTGCATTCTGAATTTTCTCAACCAAAGAGTTACAGTTCTGCAGCTATGTCTGATTTAGTTATTACTGCAATCCGATAATTTATTATTGGACTGGCAATTATTATAATCGGACGGCTACAGGTAAAGTTTTAGACTGCAAGAACAAAGGCATGGGGTCACAACAGTGTTTTAACTGTATCTACATGTACTTTACAATGCCTTTCGTAAAAAAAAAAAATGCACTAGGCCTATTTAAACTCTGTTACGGATTGAAATGCAACTTGCATATCAGTGATTTACACCACTTCTCGAATATATTGTTGCAAAGTACTCTTGAAGTTTCTCCTTCACTACTGTTAAGGACATACGCAACGTACCTTACCTACTGATAATTTCCAAGATATTCTTAATTTAAAATTATAGTGCAATCAGATATTCGTAGACAAAAAATCAGCATGCATTACCAGGGATTTTGAAAAGATATCAATTGATGCAAATTTTTGTATAATTCAAAGAAAAATATAGAAAAATTACCAAACACATATTCTAGATGTTTTGTTGATCCAAATTTGTTTTAAAAGAAGTGTACAGCACCATATATAGACATTAAAATGTAGCACACAGTTCCTATCAGTATTGGAACTCTTCGACTCCATAGAAAAAGAAAATAAAGTTCAAACTACGTTGCGTATGTCCTTAATATCTTAGTGAGAAGTAAAGAAAAAGGCTTGGTAGAACATTTCCTGGAACCCGCTGTGCATCTTTCTTTGATATATCATACTCGCAATTAATGAGATATATCTTCTGTATACATACATACATACACACACACACACACACACACACATATATATATATATATATATATATATATATATATATATATATATATATATATATATATATATATATATATATATATATATATATATATATATATATAATTCAAGTTCCATTTCAGCTCCCTTTTTTAACATATTATGAACTCAATCATTATCTTTGATATCGAACTTAAAGGGTCAGCATAATTAAAAAAATGTTTTATTTCAAAGTTCAACTTCAAGTCAAAGAAATTTCAGATCTTCCTGATATACGTTCGATATATCATTCATAACAAGCATTCTTAGAGTATTACATTAGCAATACTAGTCCCCTACCGACAAGTGTAATCTAGTGCCCATTAAAAATTAAAAATGTTGTAATTCTGTCAAAAAACCATAGAAGTTGAATAAAAACGCAAACTTGATCAGTAACTCATCAAGATTCACACACATGCAAAAAAACAGCTCAATATCCACAAGCGTTAAGAAAAAAGGTGCGGAAAACCAAGTGCGACTGACTGACTACTAACAGATAGATAGACGGACAAACAGACATACGGACAGCAATACAAACAGACAAGGAGCAAACCTATAGACCCCTCCGGTTTCACCGTTAGGGGATCAATAAAGATTGCATTTCAATACAGTGAACTTTATATATATATCAGCTTGTAGTATGCAGTTTTACGGAGATCTCTGCTCTATGAAATGTGGTAACTGTAGTGATGGTGCGACCTGTAACCATGTCAACGGAACTTGTACAAATGGATGTAACGTCGGTGTGTATGGGGATAAGTGCCAAAAAAGTAAGTAGAATTAGTAGTGATAGGTTCAGCGAAGTTTTGTAAAGCCGTTTTATATCATTTCATATCTGAACTTCATACAACACAAACATTCAATGTTTTTAACAACTGTAAATGCTGAATATCAAAGATCTTTTTGCTGCCCATTTAACTGTTCACATGTTGATTTTTTCAATTGTTAAATTTTCATTGTACTAACATATCTCATTTTGGGGGCTTTAGTGAATTAAAAAAAAAAAAAGAAAAAGTTCAAGATAGAAAACCTTAGATTGTCTTCATTTTTCACAAACATACCAATTAAAAGGAGATATTGTTACTTGGGCAATTTTCTATCAACTTATAAATAAATTTCAAATTTTGAAGAAAGATTCTAAGTTAAAACAGGTGTTTCTTTTTTTTCATAGAAAATGAAATGGAAAAGGCTTTCATGTGTTGTCAAAATTTCGTTTGAAAACGTCTATCATTATTTGAATTTGGAGAAATAGGTCGTACAATTCCCCTCACCTTATTACGTCCTCATTTGTTTTGTTTTTCCATCAGAATATAATATTTATTGTCATTCGGTAAATAAGCATTCAGAGTTATGTTTATGAGTGTACTTGTTGATAAATCAGTACTTGTACCAAGTTCAAGAAATGGGGCCACACTTTGTGGACTGTTTTAATAAAAAAATACATGTTTACTGAGTTCATAAACTAGCCATTCATTATTGGAGGGATATGGTCTATAAATTTACGTTGGTCCATGTTATATTTCATATAAGAGAGGTTTCTAAATATGAAACGAATCCAAATCAGAAAATGAGTATGAAAAGAATCTGAATCGGAGGGATTTCGATCCCGATTTGAAAATTAACATATAATTTCTAAATTATGCATTGAGAATATGATAACTATTCTTCTGTGGTTTATCAATCCGTCACCTGCGTGAAATGTTATAAGTGTTAGTGCCTCCCTCCCACCCCCACCCCCGCGCGCCATATCCTGAAATTTTAAATAAATCCTTAATGTAAATCGTGCATGAACATTGTGTGTTTGTATTACATGAAATACTTTTGTGCAAAATTTTAGTCTCATTACGACACTTATACATAAGGAGAGGGGGGGGGGGGGGCACATTGTTACAATTAAATGTCCCTTCATAATTTTACCACAGGTGTTCTCGCAGTTAGAAATCTTAATGAAACTTCAAGAAAAATATAAACAAAATGTCGAGTGAGATCGTGCAATCAACATTTAAAATTTTCAAAATTGCGACCACTGAAATATACAGACTATGAAAATCGAAAATTTTAAATCTCACCTTTCCAAGTAACTGGTCTTCCAATTCTTCTGAAGCTTTGAAGTCTTATTCTTTGCACCCATTGGTCAAAGTGCCCCCCCCCCACCTCCCCACCCCCCAAAAAACTCGTACAATGTAATCAGCTGGATATTTTTTAACTCTAGCCATGGATACCCAGATTAAAAAAAAACAATTTTATTTTAAAAAGATATTTTCTCCAGTTGTATTTCAAACTACATATAAATGAAGTTGATGTGTAAGTGTCTCTCCAAGTTTCTAGGGTTAAAATATCCGAAATAGCTGTCATGAACCTAAAAAATTGCCCAATTTCTTTTGCAAAACTCTTGGAAAGTGTTTGTTCTAAAATTTTCTCACACACTCTTTGTAAAAAATGAACCGATCCATAGAAAATATACTAGACCCTTTAAGGGCAAACAAATTATTAAATCCTAAAAGTTGGCCTGATAAAGAATTTTAAAGTCGTGAACAATCTAGTATCGCTGCGTCAAGAGACCTGTTCAGACATCGAGATTAACTATTTTTTGAGTGATTAATTTTACAATTGGAGTTTAAATTTGGGGTTTGAGACTCAATAATTTGAACTGTATATTGTTAGATTTTTTACCCAATTTGAACAATTCCTGAGTCGAAAACACTCAAATTTTCATTAAAAATCAGTAAACTCTCGTATAAACTTTTAGCCAAAATATTTTAGATATGATTTTAAGATTGATAAGATTGGTGAAATTCTACTCTGAGAAAAAAAAAAAAAAAGAGGGAGGAGTTTAGCTCTAGTATGAGATTTCCCCTCCAGGGAAGTCCTACTCTAGAATACAGATTCCCGGGGGGGGGGGGGGGACTATTTAGGAAATCCTGCTCTACGACACCAGTATTCATAATTATGCAAGATTATAGACCTTGACATTTTTCTCATTGTTTGTGAAATACATGTGGAATTCTTTCTATTCTTTTTTTCCAAAATATTCAACAATTAACTGTTGTTAATAAAATGAGTGGTTTGAACCAATTTGTTACTCTAATATGCAAAACATGATAGTTTTATGAAATGTACTATGCCTTTAGTTAAGTAATCACCAGAATTTTCGTAACGGTCATCGTCGAGCATAATTATATGAATTATTGTAGTGAAGTTGATTATTTAATGGAGTTGATGCATTTAATTTATGATGCACAGATGTAAAAGTTGCGTGAGTGATCGATGATATACCCCAAATTCTATCCTTGTTTGTATCAACATGAGGATTTTCACATTTGATGTTTTGTTCATCGACTTCTTTCCTTAAAGGTTGTCCTGTAGGTTGGTATGGAAAGGACTGTTCTCAAATGTGTAGCAACTGTGATGAATGCAATAGATTCATGGGGCAATGTACAACCCCTTGCAAAAAAGGTTGGAAGGGAATTTTTTGCACACAAGGTAATTCCGTACTATTTTTGCAAAGAAATATGTGAAATACAGTCTTATAAAATTCTACCATTTACTAATGCAATACAATAAGTTTTTTTTTTTTTGTTTTTGTTTTTTTTTTTTTTTTTTTTTTTTTTTTTTTTTTTTTTTGTTTTTTTTTTTTTTTTTTTGGTTTTGTTTTGTTTTTTGTTTTTGTTTTACCCAAAATCTTTTTGAGTAATAAAATAATGGCTTTTATTTGTTTTGAAAAGAATTGATTAATGCTTTTTTTTTTTTTTTTTTTTTATAAAAATAATGGCTTAAACATGCATATTCATAGAAATTTGACGAAAGATTATTGTATGGAAAATGAATAATCCTCTGATCATGAAGAATTTCACAGAGACGAAACTTACAATATTCATTCATAACAGAGATTCATAACTTTAATTATTTAAGATTTATCATATACACTTGTTGAATTATTTAAAACTGAATTGTTTAAGTAAAAAAGAAGTTGTTAACTATATTAAATTTTCTACATCTTTGTTTATAATTGATATGTTTTGTAGATTCTAATTAACAGCGACTTAAGTGTGTGGAAGATCTAATTTTAATCAGATTTATAAACATGCCTGCTGATTTATAGCTACTCAAACTTTTGATAAATATTATTACTTGAATGTAGTTTATTCTGTTTAAATCAGTTCTTAATAAAAAACGAAAACATTTTTTGTTCATGTAAATCATAAATGGAATACTATAAACACTTATGTCTCCATGCTCGAAAAACATGGCCGCCGTGGAAGTTGGTACGATTTATTTGCTATACTAGTAAATATCCATTTGTTAACTATAATACTGTTAATACTGAGTTACCTATCTTATTTAGTAAATTAATTACTTGTATATATTTATAATACATTTGTGTAAAATGACCTACTCTGCATTTTTTTTTAATCTTGTGTCGCGGGGAATGTTATTGTGACGTCACAATTCTCATTACAATAGAAATTTGAAAATCGGACGCCTTCCAATTTCCATCGATTTTAAGATTTTGCGATCTACTTTTGACTTTGGTGGTCACACGCTTTGATTTTAGTCAAAAGCAAATCAACTGGAAAAATAAAAAGCGGATAAAAAATTGTACTGTGTAACTGCACCTTGATAGAATATTTTCAGTATTGTATAATTCAATTTTGGTTGTAACGCGTCATTTGACTAAATGAATAATTAGCTTGTGTCTATAACCAGTGTTGCTTACGTCACGATGTCTAGTCTAACGTCAAAAACTTTTCAACCCGCTTGACGTTACTTTTAAATTATGTTCAATTTGAAGGCATTTTTGAAGGAGAAATTGTCATGTCCTACATTTAATGAGGATAAATTAAGTTATGAGGATTGAATTCAATAGCCTCCCAAGTTTTAGTAGTATAAACTGGGTTAAAACTGTATACGCTTCTTTATAAGCCGCTTTGCGGTTCATAAAGCACAAGCTGCCTCAACCCAGGTTATATAGTATAACTTGGATACATGTAGCTATTAAAATACATTCTTTAAATAGATAAACACATGCTATTCCTCAATGACTAAAGTATTTGTTTTGGCATAAAAAGAATGCGATGGACGCAGATATGGCCAGGATTGTGGAAGGAGTTGTGGAGCCTGTCTGGAATATAAACAATGTCACCACATCAATGGATCATGTCATGAAGGGTGTGATGCTGGGTATGAAGGAAACCTCTGTAAAACAGGTAGTGCTACACAACATTAAAGTACATCCTTCTTTATTGATTATTTATCAACATTAATTCAAAAATGTCCTATCTTTTATACACTAAGTAGTTTCAATTAAATTTTAGCTTGTTCTAATGGGAAATTCGGAGTAAACTGTAAACAAAACTGCAGTATAAACTGTGCGTTACCTAACAGATGCAATGGGACCTCTGGGGAGTGCGAAGGGGGTTGCAAACCTGGCTGGAAGGGGATTCAGTGCAAAGATAGTAATTGTTTTCAAGATGTACTTTTTTCAATTGAAGACATCGCCGTTCTTATAGTGACTTCTTATGGATGAACCTTGTTCTTCAAATCTTCTTTTCATTGATAGAATGTAATGGTCTCAGATACGGACAGGACTGTGGACAGAGATGTGGAGCCTGTCTCGGTTATAAACAATGCAACCACATCAATGGATCATGTTTTGATGGATGTGACGCTGGATATAAAGGGGATCTCTGTACAATGGGTAGTTGTCATTGTAATACACTATTTTAAAAAAAAAGCAATTGATTTCAATGCAATTTAAGCTGAAATGCGAAAATAGTTTTTGACAAACTTTTCTGTTTATAGCTAATTCCTTCCACAGTCACAAAAAGAAATAATTTCATTCTAGGTTGCTTAAGTGGAAAATTTGGCATTAATTGTGAAGAAGTTTGTAATGAAAAATGCGGTGAACCTAATAAATGCAACAGAACGACAGGAGAATGTAAGGGTGGATGTCAGCCGGGTTGGGAGGGACTGCATTGCAAAAATGGTAACTATATTCATTTATCAGCCTCCATAAGGTTTCCAGCACTGTGTATTTCCCAAACACAATGACTAGCCTAAAATAGGCATTTGAAAGATCATGAAAATGATCAAAATATATTGATTCATGAAAATAAATAAAGTGATGAAAAAAATAAACAAATCAATAAATAAATTGATAGACTTTTTTTAATGTTGCTTTTGAAATTAAATATATTATTATATGACGGTAATCTTTATGAATTTTTACAATTTTTGATCATATCTGAGAATGATAGGGAAAAGAAAACATAGTGAATTTATTAATCACTTTTCAAAGGTCAAAATTTTTTATATCTGCCACCTCTTTAGAAAGATAATTTAAAAGTTATATCTTATTTAGAGTGCAGAAACAACACGTATGGAACAGCGTGTAGTTTGCCTTGTGGTCATTGTCTGAACGAAACATGTCATCACATTAACGGAACATGTCCATATGGATGCAGTAAAGGATTCAAAGGCTTAAACTGCTCCACAGGTACATGTTTAAAGAATAAATTTAATTGCAACAAAGGTATACTGTATAATCTGGGTATAAGCAGTTGAAGCTTTATAAGTCATAAAGAAGTTATCAAAACATGCGTTTTTGTTCTTACTTAGGTTATACAAGTATAACTTTGGGAGCTATAAAATTTCTTCTTTCATATCTAATTTTCTTTCATTAAGCGTAAAAATTTGATATTTTTTTTTATCAAAAAATATTTTCAAATCGAACAGAATCTCAATGTAAAGTCGAGCGGATTGCTTCATTTCGGAAGTGAGTCATGTTGTTAAAATTAGGAAACACAGTTTATACGAAATAAATCTTATTCTATCAAATTGGTGATACAACAAAAATTGAATGATATAAATATATTGTTAAAATATGTGTCAGATATACACGTGGAGTTTAGTGTGTGAAAAATTAAGGTCATCAATGAAGGGAAACAATTGATTGCCCGGGCACTTTATTATGTTTTAGGATTACGAATTGATTATCAGATTGTAAAAGTATTTCTACTTAAAATAACATTATCACGGTCCTGATTCATTTCATTTTCATACTGACCGTTACATTTACTTTGATTTTAATTTTTATAAACCCTCTCCGAAGGACAAGGGGTGACAATGTTTAACCATTTGTGTCTGTCTGTGTTTGTCCTTCTCTCCGTAACAAATTTTCGTCTGAAGTTTTCTCAGCAACTACTGTTCAAAGAAGTTTAAAATTTTAGCACACTTATTTTTTGCATGCCTTATGGTGGGATTCATTTTTGTATGAATTCGATGTCAACTCTCTTTTTATTTGTCCGTACCAATATTCCTTTAACTGCACTTGAGTGTATTCACATGGGAGCGTATATTCACATCAAAGCGGGGGTATTGCTAGTGAGCAATCGCTACCATACTTCTTGTTTTTTTTCAGAATGTAGTCCAGGAACATATGGCTTTCAGTGTATGAAAAACTGCAGGATAACTTGTGTTAATGACATCTGTGACCCAATTGATGGTGACTGTGAAGAAAAAACGGTACTGCAAAAGAATTTAATCTATATCTCTTACGAAAGACACATTGCAACAAAACTCGTAAACTATATAAAAATGCAAGATACAGCTAACGGTGCTGTATATATATCTATTTAATTTTTTTCAGGGTAATTTACTTGAGACTAGTATGGATGACAATATAGGTATTATCATCGGCGGAATTGCAGGATTTGTGATTGCTGGTTTAGTTGTAGTGACAGTGGTTGTAGCTTTTAGGAGGTTTGTTTTTTGTTTTTTTTTCCTGAATTAATTTATATTGTTCATGATATATTATATATGACAATTACTAAACAGTATTTACAGTATTCACATAATCTAAAAAAAAAATTTTTGCTGTTAATTTTTTATACGTATATCTTTTTTTTTATTATTATTTTTCAAGGCGCAGTGTGCATAAGACTAAAAGAAAAAGTGGACTAGCAAAAGGATCCAGTGATTGTGAGGATTTAATCCTTTTCTTAATGATAACCATTTTTAATATTCATTATTATAAATAATGATGCAGAACACGATAACATACTTATTCATTATTTCAGCCAAAAAGATTTTTTTTGAATCGGACTTCAGTAGCGTTGAATCCAAACCTGCGTCATCCTCTTACCGTGAAAATACATATCTGGAAACAAATAATGAAAAACCAGTGATACACCACAAGAAGAGTGATGATGCTGAAGTTGAATTAGATGATGATGAGAAAATACACTCTGAAAATCCATATGGAGATTTTTACGCAAACGAAACAATAATTCGTGAAATACCTTTAAATCAGCTCGAATCGGTTATTGCAGAAAATAGAATGAATGGAGATGACGGTTTTCAGAAAGAATATGCGGTGAGCACGCACAGGGAACATGATAGAAAAAGTTTTATTTGTTATCTTCCTGAAAATATCATTCATTCCGCCTTTTGATAATAATTAAAGGAAGATTAATTCTTTGTATTTCATTTTATAAATCTCAAAGCATGAAGAGATTGTAAATTTCGTTTTTTTAAGCTAAAAGTACAAGGAAAATACATGAAAAATAATGCACAAAGTATAAACAAAGATGACACGTTCATGGCGTCCTCTTAATATATACTTACAGACATTACCGTACGGTGAAAGATACGAGTGCGACGCTGGAAAGAGCGAAGAAAATATGGCTAAAAATAGATTTAAGACAACTTTTCCCTGTAAGTATTAACCGATCAAGAAAGTGTGAATACAGATTGTTTATAGCGATAACAATAAATACAGTTGTTGTTTTTTTTTTTATTTCGCTTCTGCTATCAACCTTTTTTTAAAATGTAATGTGAACGAACTTAAAATTACTCAAACGTTATCTGCTTCGTATTTTTGCGAAACGTATACTTAAATATTTAAACTGTAAGTGTTTCCTTTTATCCAGATGACCATTCACGAGTTAAATTGAAGTCAGGGACTGGATCAGATTACATAAATGCCAATTACATAGAAGTAAATCAGTATATCAGAATATTTATATTAGAAAAATTATATGAATATTCTCTTGAAAAAATAATCACTTTGTATTCAAAATCCAGAGAAAAAAAAATATGTGTTAAGCTTGTTCTGTAATATTTTTAAGTTGTGCAATTTTGCTCAGTCTGAGTGAAATATCCTCATACATGTATTATATATTTGACCATATTATTCATAATATGGTGGCATATTTCTGCCCCTTGTGTGCAAGTTATTTTTCTATCAAATATGTCGACATGCAAGATAAATATGTTGACATGCAAGATAGTTATGTCAACATGCAACATAAATATGTTGACATGCAAGAAAATTGCAATCAAATAAAAATTATAAAAAAATCTTCAAAAATCTCAAATATCGCCCACATGTGACATTCAACATACTAGATGCTACCTATTTATGTTAACATGCAACTTATGTTAACATGCAAGAAAAATATGTTGACATGCAACATATTTATGTCGACATGCAACTTGGTTATGTTGACATGCGAGATAAATATGTTGACATGCAACATATTTATGTCGACATGCAACTTATTTATGTTGACATGCGACTTATTTATGCTGACATGCAACTTAGTTATGTTGACATGCGGGATCAATATGTTGATATGCAACTTATTTATGTCGACATGCAAGATGAATATGTTGACATGCAACTTATTTATGCAAACATGCAACATATTTATGTCGACATGCAACTTATTTATGATGGCATGCTGTTTGTTTGAAAGAGGGTATAGTTTAATCAAAATCTGTGGTTGCAGTGAATGAAAAGCTTAACCTCTGAACGTTCATCTGGTCTCTACACAACTGACAAGGTAAAACTTTGTTTTAGATCTGATATAAAACTGATATTGGATGTAATGAAGATATTTTGGTTGATTAATCTGGTCTTTTGTATAATCCTTACTGATGATAATTCTTGGTGTCAATATCTTTTTTGGTCAGAGTGTCCAATTCTTAAATGATATTTGTACTTCATGTAGCTATTATTTGATCAAACATAGCACTTTTAGTACTTCACTATCTTTAGTGGCGGATCCAGGAATCTTGAAAAGGGGGGCCCGACCAGTTTGTGGTCGGGGTAGGGGCCCACGATCACACCAAAAAATTGATTTATTAAACTTATGTATATTTCGTACACAAAAGGGGGAGCCCGGTCCCCCTCCCCCCTCTAAATCCGCAGTGCTATCTTACATAAGTTTAACTGAATTGCATTTTTTTTATATAATAAACTCTTACATGCCAAATCGTGGTGTATTTAAAGAATGATTTAGTTTGATGTACATTTACACATGTAGAAAGCAAAACAAAAATTCATTGTGTATAAAGTATTCTTTCCCCATTTTTTTCAGCGACAAAAATACTATGGTTGAAAATATCTATACACCTGCTCTGGCTCAACGTTTGGTTGTGGACGGACTACCCCTCAGTCTGAACGAAATGATTGCTGTGTATTACCACTCTGGTTATACTATTCAGGAAATCATTGGATTTATTGCTCTAAGTGCAAGACAAATTCATCGAGTTTTAAGGAAAATGAATCTGACGATACGAAACAACCAACCACGTTTGGAGGACATTGTAACGGCTATTCTACATGAACTTTCAGGCTCGGGCGGTGACACAGGCTATAGAGGAATGAGGAGACGTCTGCTAATCGACCATAACCTCAATGTGTCTTGTGAATTGGTGCGCCTTGCATTAACTGTTTTGGACGCAGAAGGTGTAATAAGGCGTAGACAACGTCGTCTTCAGCGTAGAAGGTGCATTAACGAAGGGCCTAATTTTTGTGTTCATCTAGATGGCTGGGACAAGTTAAAACCATTCGGAATTTCCATTCATGGCTGTGTAGATGGCTTTTCAAGACGTATTCTCTGGCTCAGAGCTTGCAATTCTAACAAAAACCCTGAGCATATATCCAGATTTTATATAGATTATATCAAAGAAATAAACGGGGTTCCTGTAGTCGTATACGCAGACAGGGGTACTGAAAACTCCATAGTTCGAGATATGCAATACGCTTTGCGATGGAATCACCAGGATCCCTTGCAAAGACTATCAAGTTTTAGGTATGGATCGTCATATAGAAATACAAGAATAGAGCGATTTTGGCGGTGTTTACGAGAAATGTGTGGCAATTTTTGCATAAATTACTTTAAGGATATGGATAATTTAGGTGTTTTTGACACCTCCGACATAGTTCACCTGGAGTGTGCGAGGTATTGTTTCTTACCCATTATCACCAGAGAATTGAATAGAGCTATACAGCATTGGAATGAACACACAATTAGAAGAAACCGCAATGCAGACTGTCCGTCTGGAAATCCAGATGTTATGTATTTTCAGCCCGAAATTTACCAAACAAGAGATTTCAAAATGCCTGTACCTGATAATCTGAATGGCATAGAACAAGAATATTGTGCCTACCCTCCTGCAAATGGTGTTTCAATGGAATTTGATGTTATTTGTACTCAAATAAGAATGGAAAACGGTTTGAATTACCCACCAAACACTGTAGAAGAAGCAACAGAACTCTTTATCCGAATAACAGACTATGTAGATCGCTTATAAATTACATGTATGTACATACATTTACTTGCCTCTTGTCGTTTTCAGGAGGTACTTTTTTCTTTATGTTCCGAATATTGTTTGATAAAGGAATGAGAAATTGTATCTTTGCGAGGCTTTGTGTATTTAATTGCAAATGTGTATTTCTAGTAAAGTATATCTATTAATAGTACATAATATTAGTAATTATTCGTTTTTTTAAATCTGTTTTAACCGTCAAAGTCAAAAATCATAATAAATTCAAAAATTTGTAATGAGTACTGTTGAGTGTTGAAGTAAGAGTACAATAGAGTATTTTCCTATGGAATAAAGAATGCATTTGGTCAGCTTTTTTTTAGATAACTAGGTCAAACTTTTAATTCAAGGTAAAAAATTAAAAAGAATTGTTCCTTTTTAATGAAGCTGTCATAAATAATGCACCTGTAAATAATAAAAGCTCTAGATCTATTCTCCCTCATTCAGAACATACCTACTTGACATTAAAAAGGACATTGTTACGATTTTGGTCATATTTTATATTACCATTTTTATTGTTTAAAATATTAAATTAGTTAAGTGCACTTCATACCTTTTATTCTTAAACTGTTTCATGTAGAACTTCACTGAATTCATGAATCATTGAGATGTCTACCATCACATAGGGCCCCACTCCAATAATGGACAATAGGATGAAAAGCATTTCAGAGAATTTTGCTTTGACCTTGACCTATAACTTAGAAATTGTCCAGTTGGCATAAAACTTTTATTTAAGTCTCATTACCTCTTACCTAAAGCCATTTATTTTTGGTTCTGAACAAGATTAAGCAAGTGAAAAATATTATTCAAGGTCACTGCACATCCTTTGACCACAGACACTCTGTGGAAGTATGAACCAGACTGGACCAAGTGGAAAAAATATGTGCTCCGGACAAAGATTTTTCATATACAATTCTGCTATGACCTTAACCTTAGACCTTGAAACATAGTTCATAGTTCAAGGTCAATGCACACCCTTTAAAAGAGATCTCGGACGGACAGATGGACGGATGGACACACTAATTCCTATAGGTCGCCGCAGAGAGGGGCCCTTAAAACGTTTTATAGTCTATGGTCACGTTTCTGAATCGCCAGGACATTTTATCAAAGGAAATGCAATTTATACTTTGTTGTCCACATCATATTATAGAAAATAATTTAAACTGCAATATCTGCTTGAATAAATTTTCGGTCATTAAAATCAACTTCAATTTTACCGACAAAAAAAAAAAAAAACCAAGAACCGTGCCACATTGCACATGTCTTGGATAGTAACGGATCTGCACGCACGCACAAATGTTCATAGTTGTGTATCACATAATTTCTTTTGCATTTAAATTTAATCATTTAATTCAAAATCTTATCATTTTGAAAATCGATCATATTTAAAAAAGTATATACCCCAAATGAAATCACAAATCGATCATATTCACTGAAAACTTTGTCGCCATTCCTGGGTCTTCGGGCACTTACATGGATTTGTGATTTTTTGGATATTTACTTTTTCAAAATTATATATATATGCTTCAATGCGGTCGACAACATTTTTACGGTTTGGAAGCATAACTGATTTTAAAAAAATCAAACAAGGGTTGTTAAGATTTCTTAAAAAAAAAATAAATGTTGCTGAACTTTGATAAATCACAAGACTAACTGAAATGATTTTTTATACCCCCGCTCCGAAGGAGAGAGGGGGTATACTGTTTTACCCTTGTGTGTCTGTCTGTCTGTCCGTCTGTCTGTCTGTCCGTCTGTCTGTCTGTCTGTCCGTAACAAACTTTGGTCGCAGTTTTCTCAGCAACTACTCATCAGAGGTGCTTGAATTTTTAACACACTCTTTGTTTAGGCATGCCATATGGTGGGATTCATTTCTGTACGAATTCGATGTCAACTTCCTGTTTATCCGTGCGTTTGTCCATACCATACATAAAAAAAATTGGTCGTAGTTTTCTCAGCAACTACTCATCGCAGATGCTTGAAATTTTAGCACAATCTTTGTTTAGGCATGCCATATGGTGGGATTCATTTTTGTACGAATCCGATGTCAACTTCCTGTTTATCCGTGCGTCTGTCCGTATCACACATAACAAACTTTGGTCGCAGTTTTCTCAGCAACTACTCATCACAGGTGCTTGAAATTTTAACACACTCTTTGTTTAGGCATGCCATATGGTGGGATTTATTTTTGTACTAATCCGATGTCAACTTCCTGTTTATCCGTGCGTCTGTCCATACCACACATAACAAACTTTGGTCGCAGTTTTCTCAGCAACTACTCATCACAGGTGCTTGAAATTTTAACACACTCTTTGTTTAGGCATGCCATATGGTGGGATTCATTTTTGGAACAAATCCGATGTCAACTTCCTGTCTATCCGTGCGTCTGTCCGTACCATACATAACAAATTTTGGTCGTAGTTTTCTCAGCAACTACTCATTGCAGATGCTTGAAACTTTAGCACAATCTTTGTTTAGGCATGCCATATAATAGGATTTATTTTTGGAACAAATCCGATGTCAACTTCCTGTTTATCCGTGCGTCTGTCCGTACCATACATAATAAATTTTGGTCATAGTTTTCTCAGCAACTACTCATCGCAGATGCTTGAAATTTTTTCTTTGTTTAGGCATGCCATATGTTGGGATTCAGTTTTTACAAATCCGATGTCAATTTCCTGATTATCACTGTGTTTGTCCATAACTGAACTTGTGTATTTACATCAGAGCGGGGGTATTATTAGTGAGCATTGGCTCACAGACTTCTTGTTTTTTTTTTTTTTTTTTTTTTTTTTTTTTTTTTTAATTTATTTTTTTTTTAAATACAATTTTCTAATTGAACTATTGCAACCAAATAAAAAAAAACGTGGCAATATGGGGGAAAAATTAAAATCGATGACAATAAATAATACCAGATCACTTAAATAAAATATCTAAAAACTTGCGTTAAGAGTCTTCATTAAGTTCCAAATATTTGTTTTCAATTTGAAATAAGCAAATGTAACACAAATGAGTCATTTGGTACATTAAAACACCCTGTTATTTTTCTTTGATAAAGCAAGTTGTTTTTTAATACCCTCTTTACATTGAACTCACCAGGTTTTAATTAAGATATCATATATGGGGAAAAAATGAATTTATCAATAATATTCAATTTGAATAAAACTGAAAAAGGTAATGTTTTAGAGAAATGTGGCAAGTTTGGATGCTATTGAAAATGATCTTCAAGTGTCTTGATAAAGAAAATCAACTACCGGGTACTAATTTATTTTAAGGGAAACAATCAAACAAAATGCACATTGAAAATGATATATAAACCATGGTGATTAAGATAATGTACACAAGTTGTCTAAAAATAAGTCCTCTCGGGAGCACAATGTAAGCATGTGGAGTGAAAAGGGTATAACAAAATTCAGAAAATAACAACCATGCATATTAAAACTTCAGATTGTTCAGATACACGCAAGTATTTTGACAATGCATGTGTAAATGGTACAAAAACAGTGTATCGGCACCAAACTAAAGCAACATAATAAAGTAATTGAAAATCATAAAAAATGTAGCTTAATTGTTTAAGCTATATGGGTCTTTGTAGACTGCTAGGTTGCAGTCACTTTAACTATTAACAATGATCATGAGCCCTGCTTAACCCGCATAGCATGTAAACATAACTCAGTTGCATATTGACATAAATAAGTTGCATGTCAACATATTTATCTCGCATGTCAACATAAATAAGTAGCATGTTATCATAACTAAATTGCATGTTGATTTAAATAAGTTGCATTTCAACATAATTAAGTTGCATGTCAACATATTTATCTCGCATGCCAACATAACTAAGTTGCATGTTGACATAACCAAGTTGCATGTCGACATAACTTAGTTGCATGTTGACATAAATAAGTTGCATGTTGACATTAATAAGTAGCATGTTAACATATCTAATTTGCATGTTGACATAAATAACTTGCATGCCAACATATTTATCTCGCATGTTAACATAAATAACTTGCATGTTGACATAAATAAGTAGCATCTTGCATGTTGGATGTCACATGTGGGCGATATTTGAGATTTTTTTTTAGATCTTTTATAATTCTTATTTGAATGCAATTTTCTTGCATGTTAACATATTTATGTTGCATGTTGACATAACTATCTTGCATGTCAACATATTTATCTTGCATGTCGACATATTTGATAGAAAAATAACTTGCACACAAGGGGCAGAAATATGCCACCATATTATAGGTTACGATATTAAAGATATATAGTGTTTTTTTTTAACTCCAGGGTTCAGAAAAAGATGAGCAATATATTGCCACGCAAGGTACAAACTTGATATAAAAATAAACAAATCTTTTGTTTACATGTAAAATTTGACGACTTACTTTCACAATCTGTCAAAAATAATATCAATAATATCAATGTTCATGTCTTATCTTTAGGGCCGAGACAAAACACAGTTGTTGATTTCTGGATAATGATTTGGCAAGAACACGTGACAACCATTGTAATGTTGACCAACCTTAAGGAAGGGACTAAAGTAAGAAGCATTTGACAATTAATTTGCATTTTAATATTAACATACTCTCTTAACTCTAATTCATTGAGAAAACTGTGATTTTACAATACAGGTGTAATATGTTAAAAAAAAAATCCGATTTGAAGTGTGTTTCCCTTATAATTATTTCTTTATCAACTAAAAGACAAAATGCACCAAGTACTGGCCAGATGCAAACAAACACATTAGCTATGGAAATGTGTCGGTTAAAATGATGGAAGAAAAAGATTATGCATTCTACATAATTCGGAAGTTTACAGTATACCATAAAGAGGTAAGTTTATAAAGAAAAATTATTTCACTATGACGTTTTTTTTGCTCTCATAATTTGATTTAGGATTTTTTTGTCGCATGATAGTTACAGACCTTAAGAAGCTTCAACCCAGTAAAGCGATATAAGATGTATAATAGCGGGTTGTTATTTTTGCTTATAATGGGTGAGACTAGATCTTTCTATGAAATTTTCTTTATAGCCAAAACGCTCGCCATTAGAAATAACTACTCCAATAAATTATCCCAATTCATACAAATGTCTTAAATAATTTATAAAATGCTAAAGATTTTAGATTTTAAGATCCGGTTCATTACTGTATGCAGTCGACGGGATTTAGTAAGCAAAATAATTTAAGCAGAGTAACGTTTTATTTCTCATTCGATAAATCCCAGTAATGTCCTATAAGGCAGATATGCCTATTTATGAAAGTAATAACAAAAGGAAGAAAGAATAATAACTTAAAAGATAGAAATAAATAAATAAATTATTTAAGAGACATTTCATTTGCAACATTTCTAAAAATAAGTCAAAATATGCATGATAATCTATCCGGATTTTTTTATTGTAGCATGGACCCTTTTGTCCTAAATACTTCTAGCTAACAGTATTGAAAGCTAGATGCGAAATTCAATATTTTTTTTTCAAAATATTTTACAAGTTCATTTATCTTTCCTTAGCGATTAATCAATCCCAAGAAATTGAAATACATTAGCAGGCCTCTAAGTGGCCTCTAATATTTAGGCACCAACTGGCGCCTTATCAAAAAAAAAAAAAAAAAAAAAAAAAAAAAAAATTGGTCGCCAATGCAAATTTTTAGTCGCCAACTTTAAAAGTTAATAGAATATAGGGACCCATGATGTGCCAAAGAAAACACGACATATCCATTGCTAAATCTTATTTCCTCTTCTTTTAAATTTCTTTTCGCTTTTTTCAGAAAAGTTGTTGAAATGTGATAATTTCCGGAATTCTACGAACGATAAGTCAATTTAAATGGTCACCAATTTGGCGATTTAGGTAAAAATTTTAGGCGCTATGGCGACTAAATTAGTCGCATATTAGAGCCCTGATTAAGAATTCTAGACATAGTTACTCGAAATATTTTACATTGTTTTAGACGAAGAGCAAGCGTCTAGTAACCCAGTACCATTATACTGCTTGGCCAGACCACGGTACCCCAGACCCTCTTTGTCTTGTTATTTTCCTTGATCATGTGACCAGGACAGAAGCCAGTCAGAGAAAATACCCAACAGTTGTGCACTGCAGGTAAGAAGAAATGCAATACAAAATCACAAATAATTTCAAGGGTTTTATTTAATGGTGAGTAGTATTTGACTTATTACAAAAATATTTCTAAAAGTTATTTCAATGGAAGGATTTCTTTTTTTTTAATTTGAAGCTTTGATACTCAAAATCCATAATGTGAGACAAGCTTTATTGACATCGGCTTAAGTGTGAAACAAGCATAATACCTATTCGTCTTCTTAAAATTTTCCTTACTTTAGTGCGGGTATAGGTAGAACGGGGACATACATAGCAATAGACGTCCTGAACCAGATTGGAAAAAGGACAGGGAAAGTCAACGTAGCAGAATATGTCAAGAAGATGAGAGAAAACAGGATGAATATGGTCCAAACATATGTTAGTCTCTCTTCTACAATTATTTTGTTCATATTGTTTCTCTTATTATCCCTGCGCAACGTAGTTGGAGGGGACACAGTTACGCGCTTGTGTGTGTGTGTGTGGAGGGGGGGGGGTGTGCCTATTTGTGCGAAAAGGACGTTATTTGTCCTTTGATGCGTAAAGGAAATTACGTAATTTGCATGAGGATCGATGTCTCGATGTCTTAAAATGCTCCATTGATTTACGTGTATAAAAATGTTCTTTTGCGAGGGGATGCTCCGCTTTGCGGTGCCCTTGTTATGTTTTTCATCTATTCTGATTTTTCTCATCAACCTCAAAAATGTTAAACAATAAATATTTCAGTATTGAAATCAGTTGCCTGCGTGGCTCAGTTGTTAGAGGGTTGGCTCTAGAGTCGCGGAGTAAGTTGATCCTTAAGTGTTCCAGTCCCACTGCAGGACGTGGAGACAGCATTAGTTTGTTCTTTTATGCGTAATGGACGTGTGCGTAAAGGAGTGACGTAATTTGCATCGGGCTTGAATGCTGCCATGATTTATAGATATGCTCTTTTGCGAGGAGATGCTCCGCTTTGCGGTGTCCTGCTTGATATTGTATATTTTAATTATTTTTGCAGGAGCAGTATATGACCATTTTCCTTGCTTTAAATGAAATATTTAAATCCCCGGTTAACAGCGTCACCGTTGATGAATTTACTAAAACGGCTGAAACCAAGAGAACTGACAAACCAGCCAATCAGAGTGCACTTCAAAAGGAATTTCAGGTACACATTTTTTGTGATGGCTTGGAAAATAAATTTTAAGAATAGCGCCTTTTTGATAATTGTTGAAAAAATAAGGACTTTGAATCACAAATCATAAATCCCATAGTACTCATCATTTTCCAATGAATTAAAGGACTTTGAATCACAAATGATTAATTTCTTATATGTCTCAAAATCAGAACTGCACAATTACGCACATCACTGCGCACAAACATGGTTGCACAGCAACACAAATTATTTTTTATACTGCTGCAAGGGGTTACATGTAATATTAGGAGATTTATTCGATCAAACTTAAATGTTGGGAGGGGTAGAATAATCCTTGGAACAAAAAGTTTTTTAGTTAGAAAATTCATTAACAAACATCTCCATGTCCAAAGATAATTTAAAAACCTAATTCCTCAAGGTGATATCTCACTTCAACATCATAAAAAGGTTTCCAGCTTCTGAGGATCATTCACTTAATGTTTATTTATCTATATCGAAATTGTCCAGTTATATTAAATGTGCTACGGTATTGCTTCTTGTAAAAGCAGAATAAGCAACTCAGGTGAGGTAAAAAGAAAGATCGTACATTAATTTCTTCTTGTAAAACATTAACATCATTGTCATTTCTGTAAGTCGGAACTGTAAAATTTGAATGCATTATTGACAATGTGTATTCTCTCTCTGGTACAGGATAAGTCCCCTAAGGAGGTAGAAAAATGAAATACATTGTTGATGCAATTGAAACAAGTTCATTGTGAAAACAGGTTCAGCACCCTTTTGATCTGGGAGATTTTTTTTTCTTTTTGGACTGAGGAAGGAATACTCAGTGTTTGATATAAATGTTGTTTTTCCCGATTTAAAAAAAAAACAAAAACAAAAACAAAAAACAACAACAACAGATTTTTGCTTTTTTTCACGCTATTTTACCATTGAAAATTTTGCTTTTAAAGAGGTAACGTTAAAAAATTAAAAAAAATATCTTTGAACATTTACTTTCAACAACACACCAGAAGTATAACAGCTCGCAGAATAATTCGCTTAACCTGAAATGAGACCTCACAACTAAAAGAGGTCTTCTTCTGAATTAGTTCTTCAAAAGGTGGTATTTTTCGCTTCTCTTGATCAATAGGAAAGACAGTTAAAGCCTTTTAAAGTACGTATATATGTTTTTTTTTTCTTTTTCTTTTTTTTCTATTTTACTGAATGCAGCTTCCTTTTTATTTTACAGGAAGTTCTGTTCAATTATAAAAATAGTATATACTAAAGAATATTTATTGTCATCTTAACGTAGCCACCCTACACTCCCACACCCCAACTTCTAACCCTCCAGCACAACAGCGAATTTTCCTCTAAACCTGAAAAATGGACATCAGATCGACAAATTTTGGCACCTATTGACCATGAATGAGAAAATTAAAAAAAAAATCTAGCAAAACAACGTGTGTAAATGTTTTAATTTCCAATTACAGGTGTCTATCATTGAGATTTTTGGCCCGTATAATTTTTACATTTTTGGTACCATGATGTCTTCTGTTTTGTTTTGTTTTTTTGTGTTTAATTCATTTTATTTTTATTAACATTAACTTGATCTTGATGGAAGTACATAGTTCTACTATTGAGTAGGATATGAGAAAAAAAAATCTACATTTAATTTATATAACAATAACATCTAAAATAGGCTCTATTTCATTTTCTTTAAAGTTGAGTTATACTTCAGCAAGGTTTTCCTTTGTGTATGTGTGTGTTGGGGGGAGGGGGGGTTATCTTTTTTTTTACGAATATACACTTCTTTAAGCATAACTCCTTCAACTTAAGGATCAGCTTTGGATGAAATACGCTTTTGCTTGCAATGACAGACTTTTTATTCAACCTTGCTATTAGCTTTTGAGACTCTTTCTATTACTTCGTGTAAAGATGCATTTTTTCACTACAGTATTTATTGATATTTATATTATTTGAATTTTGAATCAAAAAAAAATGCTCCATAGAACTTAAATACAATCTGGGTGTAGTAAATCTGAAGAAGATTGAGGCAACCGGTTCTTATCTATCAATGGGAACCTAGGGGAGAAACACGGTGCAAGTATTACCTTACCCAGTCCCCATCTCTAGATGAAAGATAAAAAATGAAAGATGAAAAATATAAAACTAAAAAAAAAATGTATTTTTATCACAGTATTGATAATTTTCTACTTTTGCTTGTTTAATTAGCTTCTGATGAAGATAAGACCCACATACAGCGATGAAGACTTCAAGCTAGCCAAGGAAAGCTGTGGAGACATTTATTTTAACGGTGTATTGCCCTGTAAGTAAATTTTATGAAATGTATATATTTCACACTGATTTCTTTTTCTTTTTTTTTTTTTTTTAGTAATTTGGAAGTTAGTTTACCCAAAAAATACTTTCTTTTATATATACTGAAGATGGACGAGAAATTGTTTTCAGCATTACCGATGTAGGGTTGGCATTTTATCTTCTTTACCATTTACAAAAGTGTAAAAGATATCTTTTTAAATCTGTTCTTTTGTATTTAATCAGTGGATAAATACAGCGTACATCTTTCTTCTGTTGTGCCTAAAAGGGGGAATTTTATTAACGCCATCATTGCTCCAGTAAGTACTCAATGAAGAAAATATGTAAAAAAAAAAAAACAAAAAAACAAAAAAAAACAAACTTGAAAATGTTCACTTTTTAATGACTACCAGAAGGATTTATGTTCCTAATGTGTACATAGAATAGAGTTGTTTGATTAAGATTCTCTATATCTCTATGTTACCTAACCAACAATGAAATGTAAAGTTGTTTTTTTTTTCTATTGTCGTGTAGACATACAACAAGAATAATGCATTTATTGTAACGCAATATCCAACGAAAGAAGACGCTATAGACTTTCTGCGGCTGCTCACAGATCATGAGTCTGACACCCTCGTCTGCATGGATCCATTGAACCAGATCGACTCGGTGTGATATTTAATTGACTTAAGTTAACATATTCTTTTTTTTCCTCTATTTTAGACTATATTTCGTTGTGTTTCAAGTTTTATATCTGTGAAAAGGCAACTCTTTTCTTTTTTTTTTTTTTTTTTTTTTTTTGAAATGCAAAAGCATTTTTCAAAAACGTCTTCTTTATATATATGATGTGTACGAATACATATACAGGTGTATTTGTTTTTTTTTGAATACCTTGCTCGATGCACTATCTAAAAAACAAATCAATATTATATATACATAATGCTTATTGACCATAGATTTTTCATTTGTTTAGTTTGTTGATCGTATATACAGGAATATATTACACTACATCTTTTTTTCTGAAGAGTAAGGCATGGTTACCAAGCCCCTCCTCCTCTAAGACAATCCCTCCTTTCACCATACACTGTCAATCAAAATCTGGAACTGGCTTCAACACTACCATTGTTCACATCCTGCATAATAATGTAAATAAACATTTTTTGTCTGTTTGTTAAACATGTATATTATTAAATTCGTTTTCTCTTTTTAGAAATAATTATTCTCCTTAACCAATGAATTTAATTTGTTTTGAACAATACATTTCACATATTTAATAAATGTTTCTAAAAACAAATAGGAAAAAAGAAGTCACATTATGTGCTTATTTTCTTAGAGTGAGAATGAGGCTCATCCCATAACAATAATTGAACCAAAAGTCAGCATAAAAACATCCGAACCTACTCTCGACACCTCTCAGCTTCGGAATCTGGTTTCTGTCACATTGGGTGTTGAGACAGAAAACCCTATCACAGTAGTTAGCAGGTCGTCAGTTTGCTATTTCTTTAATAAGAAATGTTTATTATATTGAGATATTCATTGCTTAGCATGTTAAAAATGGATTTTTTTTTCAAAAATATTTTTTAAGTTTAAAACTTGAAATTTCAATCATGCGAATACTGTGCATGTGAAGTTCAATATTGTGTACCTATATAGTATCAATAGAGTATAACGAATAAAGGAAAAAGTAACTGTGATCGATATAATCTGATGAAACATATACATGTTGTTTAATTAATTAACTACGTACATACATGTATGTAATATTCCTCACTGCTATGAACTATATGTATCCTTGATTTCTTTAGTGATGGGGCGTCCCTGTGTGGTGTTTTTTGTGCCGCTCATAACGTAATACAACAAATAAACATGGATAGCAGGGTAGATGTTTTTACTGCTGTGAGACAATTACAAGTTAGAAGACCAGAATTCTGTTCCAATCTTGTAAGTTTCAATACAATAAATCACTTTATATACACGAGAGCTTTATTTTCATGTAATTATGGGAGACTGCCTGCGTGCGAAACTTCTATTCGTGCGAATATGTGTGTTATTTAAATAATATATATAACAATAACAAAAGTGAACATTTTTTTCTTGCTTATCAATACCAAATATCTATGTCGTAAGAAATATGTTACATAAAATAATAATATTGAAAAAAATTGAGAACTAAAATATTTACCGAGTGATTTGGAAACCAGGTAGATTTCTGAACAAAATAAAGCAATGTGGTATAGAATTTATGAAAGATCATGCACTATTTATGATCTCTAACCTTCAATTTTACAATCTGAAAAAAAAATCTAATGCATCTAAATCTCTTGAAGTATGTTGATATTTTTTTTTCAGGATGAATATCGCTTCGTGATCAAAGCTGTGTATGATCACATTGAAAGTTCCAGCGAGAGTATATACTGCAATCAGTAAAAAGGTTGATACAAAGAGGTCGTTGATCAAAAAATACTACTGACACTTATTTTATTCAAATGGAACTGCATCTACATGAATCGACCTCCAAGAATGGAAATGTCTGTTCCTGCGTGTGATTGACACCCATGCAGATTTGAGAATTTATAATTTTGTTACTTAATTTTAACACTTACACCCCTCATATATCTAAATGCGATAAGATGCATTTAAATACATTATACAGAAACTATTGTGCTTTTTAACCCAAATTATTTTTGACATTTAAAAGCATTTATATAAGCTTTTACGGTAGCTGCAGAACTGTAGCGTTATGAGTTTATATATTAGTCTTTGACCATAACGCTGTGTACAGATCCCGTAATGCAAATATAGTGCAGTTTACCGTGCATGATTTTCTGCGCACGGTTGGGGAGAATTTCACAACTTTCTAGCATTAGTCAATTGACTACGCTTCACTACCTAATTCTAGACATATTCTTTAATCAACCTGTGTATTACATCCATCTCCTTACCCTTCACAGTCGTCTCTACAAACCAATGAAATCGATTGTTTTGAATTTTTTGTCTGCTGGCAGAAAACCGGAACGGTACAGTTCTGCAGCTATGTATACCGAAGCTACTATGCGTCAATTATGTGTTAAGATTACATATCAATTTTGACATATATTTTCATTCTGTAGTAATTTGTTTATGACTGATTCACATAAAATATACATGACTGATCGAGTGAAATTCATTTGGTGCCTCATTTCTATACAATTTATATTAAATCATTGTACGAGGCTTATCCAAGAAAAATGCGAAGAATTTCAATATTTTTGGTTTCACTTCTATTATAATGTTTAAAATTGCCATATACTATTATCGTCAATTGTTTTAAAATAAAGTATCAATTTCAATAAAATATCTCTATAAATAACACGTTCCTGTCTGTTAAATGAGTCTTACAAAATATGTGTCGAGGAAACACTGACGAACTCGAAACTTTGAGGTAACAGTTCACCAACAACGATCATAATCCTAACTTCGCATAGTTACATATAACTCTATTAAGTTAAGGCCTTCTTATTCTAATTGAAAATGTTTTTGGACATTAAAAAAATATGCTTATGGTATAAGAAAGTTAATATTGAATTTATGTATCCTATTCTCACCATTGAGTGCCAATCGTTTTCCCCAAGTAAAAGACGTTTAAAAACAGCAAGTCTTTGATGAACAGATGATACTTAAGTTGGGGAAATATATGAAAATGAAGTGTTCAAGAGAACATGAATTAATAATAAACAGCTAGAGTAATTTACTGTAGATTTCAATTTATATAGTATAAGATCTAAGGAGAGAACACTCTACATGCATAAAAATACCATGGAAATACATGTAGAATTCTACTATACACAACCATCTCTATGTCTGACGTCCATTTCTTGAATGTTCAGCTTGTCTACATATTTTTGGTATACCAAACGACTCTTCCATAGCATAAATGGTATAGCCATTCTCTACAATCTGATTAAAATCAGATCCTTTGATCCGCTCACATAGATCGCTACACAAGGATCTGAAGAAACCCCATTCAGGGTCATCTCCCGGTGACCTTTCAATTATCCAATCAAACGTTTGTTTGCAAGAATTTAGAAGTATCTCGGAATTCAGTTACAGAAGTGAAAAACCCGATGATACACGGACGGAAAATGGCGACCTGGTTTCCCTAGCCTGTCAAAAGAACGACCAAAGTCTTTTCTTCATAGAATTATATTTAGTACTTGCTTTTGTCTTGTTTTTTAGCTCTTTGTTTTGTTCGAAACAATAAGACCTTCTCCACAGCTACTTTCACTTCTACATTCATTTTCCCGAATGTCGCTTAAGTACGATCTCTCTGATTGGTCAAAATTTTAATGAGTATTTTTATTAGAAAGGTCACCAGGAGATGACCCTGAATGGGATTTCTTCAGATCCTTGTGTAGCGATCTATGTGAGTGGATCAAAGGACCTGATTTTAATAAGATTGCCATTCTCTATTGAATGGTGTAAACCAGTGTCTGAACTATGTGTTTGTGTCGTTCCATCATTTTCCTCTCCTTTCTCTTTCCATACCCCTCACCACACAGTACTGAATGATAATTTTTTGTTCCGCATTATCATCCGACGTTGCCATTTTTGAAAATATCCAATGGAATGTGTTTATGCATTTACCGTCATATATTTGTCTTTTATGATGTCATTTTTTTTTTAATTTTTGTCACTAGAACTCTAGATCATACAGTCCTTACGGATATAAATTTTGTCATAATAATTCCCTATGAACCGGCAATAAAGAAAACATCGAAGTCAATGCTAATTAAAAAAGTGAAAAAAAATTGCGGTGTGCCAACAAAAGATATTTTAAAAATCCTTTAAATGCTGTCCAAATGTGCATATGACATTATATGCTTATAACATCTTGTTAAATTTTCCAAACACTGTGGAAAAAATAATAAGCTAAGGAAAAAATGTAAAAGTGTTTATATTGAAGGGTTGAAAGTTTGACGACTTCGGTATAATATAAAATGGGTGAGTGAAAAATTCGACGATTTACGAGTATTTAACAGTGCTCTTTAGCACGAATTTAAAAAGTTGAAGATTGGAAACTGTGACGACTATTAAGTATTCATAAATTTTGTCAAAGTTTCCAGTTTTACAGTATAATGCTTAGCATATTCCAGCGCTTTCGTAAATAAACCATTAGCCTTGAAGATTTTTTTTTTCATTTATCTTTTTTTAAACTATTTTATTATGTTTAATTTTAATATTTCCCTTAAATCTTTTTTGAAGGTTGTTATGATAAACATGTTAAGAATATAAATCAACTTGCTTGTCGATTTTCGGTTTTGAACAGAATCTGGGTCCTGTTACATTTTTACAAAACACTGCATATACAAGATTGCAATATTTACAATTAATATAATTTTTGATGTGATAAATGTTTCCCTAAATTGTTCCCAGAGTGGCTTGTTTTAATTAAATATTTGCAAAGAATACATGTACATTTCTTAGCACCGCATGGCTCGAACAAATTTCCTTTCTCGAAAAATAAATTATTACGCTTTCTATGGACGGTTAGCACAGCCTTCCTGCAGGTGGTGCCACTGCAGCCGCTAATTCTTGCATTTGTGACAGACTGTTAAAAATGGTAGATGGCGATCTGATTCGGCTAAGATGGATATGTGAAAGAGAGTTTACATCAGCAATTGTTTGTCACTAAAGGTCTTGGTATTTAGGGTAGGGGTAGTTTTTCGTAATAAAATTACAATTTAAATCTTTTCTTTATCGTCGAAGTCTTTTTTACTCGCGCACGCGAAATCCTATATATTGGTATTCGAGTTTTTATTTTATAAATAATTTATGTTCGTTTGAACTGGTGAATTTAGAACATAAATATATTTATAAAAGAAACGACAAACACGTTGTTTTGTTTACGGAACTGGGGGGGGAGGGGGGGGGGTGGCAGTATCGAAAACCGATTGGTTAAAGTTTTCGCGGTTCTATAGGTGAAAATCATGCTAGGCATGTAGATTTGTCTGTATTGCTTTGCATTAAGAGTTTTTTTTTAAAGTCATCCGAAGTTTCGCTGCCTTAAGTGCAACGGATTCCCCCCACCCCAATATACTTCAATACTTCTATATGATTTTTCATGAATATGTTCAATCAAATATCTTTTCTGTTTTGTAGAATGGAATCAATAATGTTCTCATGAAGATTTTTGATATGTAAAGTTTAAATTGTTGTATTAAAGCTGTTGCACTCGCGCAGTTGAGCTTATCCTATATACATGTATTTGGTGTTTGAGTTTTTATTTCATAAATAATTTATGTTCGCTTGATCCTTTGAATTTGAACTAGAAATATTTTTTTTGTTTCTGGAAACAGTTTTAACAGTGGCTAAATTTTGTAAATGCCCCTAAGTATTGTTGACTGGGATTTACACCCCTATAAACTATAGTAACTGTTATGAACTCGACAAAAGTTTGTCTTAACAGTTTCCAAGTAATTTAATTTCTATGTACAAACTAACAATTAAATTTAAATACGCTTTGTAAAGCAGAATTTTTCCCAAAAAAATCTATCCATTTTTAATCGACGAGTATTTAGTCGCAAAATGGCATAGTTATTTCCAATATGTTTATGAAGTGAAAGCCAGCCTACAAACATCTTGTTATAGGATCCTGTATACATTAAAAATAATATTACCTATATAACAAATCGCAGCCTCCTTTCAGTGATGATCGAGTCAGATTACTATTTGCTATATCAAAATACGAAATATCAAGTATACCCCCATCCCATTTTTTTTTATTTCAAACTATATAAAGAATAAAATAACGACAAGTAGGTCAAAATATCGACACCATATGCCAATATGTGCATTTTCCATTAAGTTTTTAATTTCAAATACGATTTTGCACTAGACCTGCAGATTTGATTTAAAAAATTCAAATAAAAGAAATGAAAACACAGGTGCTTGATGACACCCCCCCCCCCGTCTCCCTCCCCTGCACACACACATACTCGCGCACACACCGGATATAGACCCTGGGTCTTTTCAACTTTTTCATAGATAATTTAATAATCGTTTTATGATGTATTCATAATCAAATCAATACCGTCAATCCGAAAAATCACATTAAACATTTAAAAAATCAATATCTAACTCTATGTATAAAGATTTAAGTTTAGGACAAAATCAACGCATTTAGGAAAAAAATTCAAAGTGCGTTAAAAGTGTACATCATTGATCAACATTTTTACCATGTAGACACTTAATGCACCTTGGAAAAAATATGTATAAAACAAAAATTTTGGATTTAGATTTAGTAAATTTAATGTATGTTATTTTCTTCACGAAGGAAAAGGTTCAAAACCGAAGGACAATTGTTCTGGTAAGCGATATAGTTCTTGTTCCTTTTAATGATAAAAATTTCATTCAGCCCTTCAACTATTGTTTTTAAAAGGTACAATGTTGAACTGCATGGGGTTTTGAGAAACCTCTGTTCATGTTAGCTTATGGCCCGTTGGTTGTCTGTATAATATTCTGCCGAGCTGCATAACCTTTATTCAAAATGTATCCACAACGATTCCTCCGAAAAAAAAAGAATCTTGCTGGTATTTACAGGGAAATTAAAACATGTTATTTGACATGTCTAGCCTTTTTGATATCAAATTACAGATTTAGAAGTACATGTAATATGACTGCATAACTTTTGTTTATAAGATTTTTTTTTTGAGAAAATAATATTATTGAACTAGGTAAAACTTTCAGTCGAATGAGTAATGTGGCTAAATTTTATTTTTTGTTTACTATCATTTACGTGTAATGAGTCAACCATTGTTTCATATATGTCCACAATAGATAGGTAGATGAATATAAGAGATTGATAGATATGTGGATTAGAGAGAGAGAGAGAGAGAGAGAGAGAGAGAATTTTCATGTTTTGGAAAAATCACAATTGCTCCCTTTCTCCTAAGTAAAATGCGATGCTTTAAGTCATTTATCGAACTTATTACAGACTGGATGAAGTAAAATAGAAACGAAATTGTACTATTTAACAATTTTTCCTTCATTATTTCTAAGAGACCCATTTCCCTTTCATAAAATTTACGAGAACCTTAGGGAACAAGCCAACCCCTAAACATTTTTAAAACGTCTACCAGTATATCTCAGATACTGAAGTGGCGTCATCACCAAAAATTTATTCAATCAGGTTCAACAAATTATTAGATCATGGTTAAAATTTGCAAGAATTCCAAAAACGAAAAAGTTTTTTTTTTAATAATATG